AAATGCAAAAGGTTACGGAGTCCAAAGTTTTGACAATCGAAAACATCATAACGTTTTTAAACGAGACTCCAAACGACATGTTTCTGTTAATAGAAGTACCGGGTGGCACATCTATTAGCAGTTTAATACGTAAAAGAAATTGACTAATTAAATAGGCGTTATATTTTAATTAAGCAGAATTTTAAAAGCGTTAGTCACAATTCTTTTGTTAACCATTTATTTTGTTATTGTTTATGAAATACATTCATTCCAACCGTTTGGGTTGAATCACAATGTCCCAGGACGGTACTTAGCCTTTTTTAGTGGCCATATTTTTTAGTACAGTGTGAATTACTTCTTTGTAAAGTTCAATATCCTTTCAGATCTTTTTCAAATTTCAGTTCAGTTCAATCTTATCTATTTTTTTGAGTCAGGTTTTGAAATATTAAAATTAACTATTGAGTTACAAGGAATACATATAAGTTTATGTATATACATGTAAGTGTATAACTGTAACTGTAAAACTTATACGCACAGGGTGTTTATTTATTGGGTGCCGATACTTAAGTTGTTAAGCATTGGGCGATTTTAAGAAGAAAATAAATCTAAATGTTGCTTAAGTTAAAATTGATTTTCTTCTCATAGTTTCTTCTATCTAAACATTCAATACCCACTTGAACGTCACTAGAAAGGTGTAAAAAATGTGTCCACGCACCTACCAAATTAATTTTAGTTTATACACGTTTGGCGAAAATTAAGTAAACCTTTGTCTTCAAAAAAATGTTCCTTAATGATTATTACAGGTAAATCAAATTTCATAAAAATATCTAAACTGCTTTATCTCATTTTCAAAGGCGGGAGACTGTTTTTGCTACGCTGTATTATAAAGTGGTCGATGCCCATGAATGTTAAACCGTTAAACAATTTTGTAAAATATTTTTTTTATTCAACATAAGTAACGTAAAATCACGCACTCACTCTAAATAAAATCGGGGTGAAACTCCAGATCCAAGCGTCTTCCTGGTTCTTTATTTTAAATAGGAGTTTGGTAGACGATTGTTTTTTGTACATCCTTTTCCTTTTGTTTGCTTTGTTAACTCTCAGCAGGTCGTTCGAAAACAGTTGCAACTGAATTACTTTGAGTCGAGTCATACTAATCATAACTAAAAACATTAAAAGCTAATTTTATATATTTCTTCTTTTCAATTCGTTAACAGAGGTGTGACTTTTTTACATACACATTCATCGATTAGTTCAAATAAAAATATTTCCAAAATGGTTCTAGCGGGTTCTGATAAAAGGACCCAAAAATATAATACACTGTAGTATAAATAGTCACGAGCCTTTGAATATCAGAGCAAGGGCTAACTCAAAAACAAATTCAAATTTCGCATGTCAAAAAACGCTGAAAAAAAAAAGATAATAAACCTTATGTCTATGCGTTTTGCACCACAATATTTATAATAATTTTATACCTTGATAATAATAAATCACCATATGAAATATTGGACACTTATTAAATAACTTTTAGAGAAGATTAAATTTTGTCAATCCAACCCTGTTTCACATTAATATTTCAGAATGATAACATTTCCCAGTACTCTAGTCATATGTATAAACGAAGTAGTACGTTACTTTCTTTATGTGCAAACCCGTTATCAGTGTACGTCGCGACAGATCCGGCGGTTTTCCGAGTATTTCATCACTAAAGTGACAGTTTTAAACTTTCGTTAAAACAGTTTAGTTAAAATTTGGTGCGGGGACTATGGCGGTATCGCAAAATAGGGCCACACTGTCTAGCGCCCAGGAATTTTTAGATTTCGGTAATGTGGGTTATGATTCTATTTTTGAGCGTTTTCGTTTTGTTTACATACATAATATTTGTTCGAAAATACTAACACGAACTGTTTTGATGATTATTAACAACGGCGATTTTTAATCGTTAACTTGCATTGAAATTTATGATTTAAATACGTTACTTAATTTTAAAATACTAAATAGTGACTGCAATTTTGGTGTATTGTATCTCAGAAACCACGATAGATTTGGCTAAATCTGAAAAGTATATGAATTAAACAATATTAATTTATGGTGAAGTGCTTTCACAGATAAATGGTTTTGTTTTCCACTTATATCAAACTACACATCTCAATATATAAATTAAGTTAGATTAGAATAGAATTGGATAGTAAAAATATGGATCCTTATATTAGAGACATACATTTCGCACAAAAGAGGCAACAGAAATTATAACATTTAAGGAACTGAATGGTCTTACAGAAAAAAAACAGCAAAGGTATTTTAAAATTTTAAATTTCAACATCAGAAGCATTTCAAAAAACATGAATGGATTTTGGGTTAATTTCTCACAGATTACCTTTGAATATGATTTCCTTATTTTTACCGAAACATTTCAGATTCCAGACACGTTTTTATTTACAATACCCGGATCTGACCTTAATATAAAATTTTGGAGATAAAAAGTTGAAACAGCAATTGTTTATGTTGGGGTGATAAAGGTTATTGAAATTTTAATTAAAAGCTTGTACAGAAAAAATCTACTTATCTTTGCAATATGTCGACCTCCGTCCACTTCTGAAAATGCATTTAGACAAGTCTGCACAAATACATGTGCTTACGAGTGACATGAACATATTAAAATAAAATATTGACACGGTAACCGAATACTTAAACAATTTAAGTGGAAATGGATGTGTATCATATATATCATAAGTCAATCAAATAACTAGAGAGGAATGGGAAGCCAAGGAATATACAAAGAGAAGTACAACAAATAAGCCAAAGTTTTTTGAATATATTATCGGCTGCTGTAGCTGAAATCACCACAGAATGAAAAATAAACAGTAATTCTAAAAAGAAAAAACTGTAGATGACGTATGGTCTTATACAGTCAGTAAAAAAACAAAAACGAGCTTTTCGAAAATTTCTTGGCAAATTCTATTTTACACAAAACAGAATATTTGAGATACAAGAATCACCTAAACCGACTTATACAGACAACAAAAAGTAATTATTATAAACAAAAAATAACAGAAAATGGAGGAAACGCTAAGAAAAATAGAACAAACAAAATAATGCAAATGAAAATTGCAGAGCACGTAACAACTAATAAATGATTTTCAAATTGTGGAAACTTTTAACAACTATTTCTCAAAAGTGGGGGAAAAACAATAAAACAATTCCAATTAGAAAAAAAACGACATCGGGAGAAATAATACAAATCATAGAATCGCTGAAATTAAAAAAATCTCTAGGCTTTGATAACATCACAACGGAAACACTGCAACCGATTGCTCACGAATTTGGAAAACCATTATCTTACTTAATAAACACAATGTTTGCAACAGGAAACTGTCCTGGAGAATTTAAAATCTCCATTATAAAACCACTATTTTAAAAATGCGACAAAACTTATAAGTAACATTGGAAAAATTTTCGAGAAAGCCCTTAAAGAGAGATTAGTCCAGTTCCTAGCAGAAAACATAATATTAAATAAAAATCAATATGGATTCCGGCAAAGTAAGTCTTCAGAAAATATAATGGCCTCTTTAACTTCACAAATTTACAGCTCATTAGAAAACAATAAAAAAGTTCTTGCAGTGTTTCTCGATTTGCAGGACTTCGGCGTACGCGGAATACCTTGGAAACTATGTAAAAGTTATTTTACGGAAAGAATACAGAAAATAATACTTATAGTTTAAAGAAACATTTCCTATGGTGTCCCCCAGGGATCCGTTTTAGGGCCAATATTATTCATTCTATACATAAATAATTTGTGCCATGTAAACACGTCAGGGACCATTCATGGTTTTGCGGTTGACCGCAATTTTAACACTTTAGATATACAAACAATAAACAATGAACACCATTTAGTAAAGTCGACAGATAAAATAAAGTACTTGGAATAACAATGGATGCACAATTAAAATGAAATAAACAACAAAATAAATTACAAGCAGTAGTAAACGACCTCGGGCCTTAGAAACATTTTAAATAAACACCAAATGTTTAACACTTTATTATGCATTAGTGCAGTCACGTTTTCAATATAGTATTTGTTGGAGTCGAAAGGTTTTACGGCGGGGAGTTATTTTTTAAAACAACGGTTTTAAATATTTTGAAAAACAAAACCGAACTACAAAATACATATTACTCATTCTTACAATATAAGAAATAGAGAAAAGGGAAATGTGATAACAAATAGAGGTTTATAAATCATTAAGTGCTTTTAAAATATGTCTCAAAAAATCTGTACGCCTCGAAGCAATAAACAACCTAATAAATATATAAATTACATATATCATTTGCTTGTTTTCATTATCCAATTTTTCAACATTTGTGCCTAATATTTTTATATTATGTCGTTGTCTACAGAACATATTTTGAATGGAATAAAACCACCTTGGTTATAAACGTAGGAAGATGTAATTCAGTTTCCGACTGCGGAAAAAAAAATACTGGGATATTGACAGTATTACAAGACTTTTTTATTTTTAACTCATACCATATATTTTTATGAAGTCTACAACACCAGCATTTAAAGTGGGCAAAGAGTATTCTGACCTAATGCTGAATTTCAGTTGGTGCTGCCACATGCGATTTATAGGTTTGAGACAATATTATGGTGGGAGCGGTAACACTGTATGTCCCGTTTCCACGCTACTAACGAGCCCAAACATACACGTTTAAATGCTGAATGATTTTACAACTTCTAGAAGTTCACTTTTATATGAATTTTATCAAAACCTTTAACTCTGAAACGTTATGTGGTTTATGACTGTGATAGGTCGTAACTCTATTCTGTGGAATGTAAGATTGAAAACAATCCAATTATTTTTGAAATTTCTTTGCCATTATCTTCATGATATGCGACACCAGGTCTTTAATATGTTTTTAATGAAGCTACAAAGAATTTGGGATCCAATAGTTTTGTGGCTCGGTTTACAAAATGATTAATCTCTTCCTTTTATTTATTTACACGTGCGTTATTTTTGTTTCAGACGCTCTTTTGGCGGACCTGCAAAATACGGTTTCAGGTGGTTCTGGATACGGGTCGTTAAATGCTCCACGTGTGCGGCAATCTCCAGTAAGCGAGACTCCAGTTACTAAATCTGCCGGATACGGAGTTAAAACTGTAAGTTTCGAGCCATAGAGAAATAACAATTTTAACAACTACACTTTAACACCCTGTATCTTACTGATGACAGTTTACTAAGGCATATTTGTCATAATATCAATAGATGTCACGAGTTTAATCTATTATTATTAAAACAAAAACAAAAAAACAAATCGTCCATCCTCAAAAAGACCTGGTTTCACAAAGCTATAAGGAGTCAATTACACTCCTAAGTCGATGTCTCAAAAATTGTTATTTATAAAATATTACACGTTTTTCGCCCACACGGGCATCATCAGACCTATAAAAGCAATTTTTTGAAATAATAAAATAACATATCAATTATGAATACCCACATACAAAGACATCAACTCGAACACAAATTGGAATGAGACCGAATCAGTTTGATTTTACCGAGATCTTAAAAACTAAAAAAAAATATTGATATTAAGAAATATAAAAAATTAAAAAAAAAACATCTAACATTGACGCAATTTGGCTTTGGTGATTTCTAATTTCTCCAATAGATCAAGTTTTCTAGTTTTTGGGCACTCATGTAAAACAATGACATTTTTATTCCGAGAAAAGTACTGCCCCGTTGACTAAAAATGAGGGGAGAAAGCAGATTTGGTCTCGTCGCTTCAGTGTCCTTGTACTTTTTCAACAAACTTTTATTAAAAATTGTTTTAATGTATTGTTTGTTTTAAACGCTATAGATAAATTTCTGCTCTTGAACAAGTTAAGTGCAATGAAATATTACCGAAATAGGTCAATCATTGAAATTTACGTTCTGGAAGTTTTGATTGTATTATATAATACGATAACTGCTCTTTGACTAATCGTCGTCAATGCCCTATTAAATGCTTCCTTTGAAAAGGGAAGGTTAAAAAGCCTGTAAAATAAACAATTAAACGTGGCAAAGTTATGAAAACAGGGAGAGTTTTAGGAAAATTCTATGACATTCCCAGTAGATGTGGCCTTTCTAAAAATCTGGAATTCAATACTCTTACCTTTCCTAACTAATAGAGGACCGAGGACCACATATCTTGTGTAAGTTATTAAATATGTGTAGAATTGAATATCCATAAGTTTTCTATCAAGAGTGGTCATAAAAATTTCACTTAAAAAACATTTTGTATCGACGCGGAAAGTAAATCCTACCTTGCTTGTTTAATCGCAACTGACTAGGTGCCGTTCTCGTTTCTTTTTGTCGATTGTCTTTTCAAAAAAAAAAAAAAAGAAACGCGCACAGCGTCGCAAAAAATAGCCTGGCTCTAAAAATATTCCTCTACCAATATAAGATCGAACATACCGCCGAACTTAAAATCACCAAGTGTAACAAAATAACATTCTAGTATAATTAATGGAAGAAAAGAAAAAAAGAGAAGATGAGAAAAAATATATATGTTCTTCTAAATTTATTCTAAATAACGTAAACGACATAGTTTGGATATGGGCCTTTGAAAAAAAAACGTTTTTAATTCCAACTGTCGCTACTCGGCAAAGACCGCCAGTTCCAGGATGAACCTGTCTTACTCGGGCAAGTAACCATCGAAGGGGCATATTTAATTCGTCTTTGATGACTACCATATCTCCTATGTTTAATAAGGGGTATTTTTTTGTCTATTTCGAACTCTGTTGAAGCGTGTTCAAATAATCGTGATGCCACCGCTTTCAGAATTCGCTATGCAATCGTTGCACCAATTCCCAACGTTTTAAAGTATTAATATTAGCGTTCGTATAATCCTTAGAAGGTAAAGAAGTTAAAAAATGCCCTGGAGTCAAAGCGCTTATGTCATTAGGGTCATACTCAAAGGGTGTAAAGGTCTTGAGTTTAGAACAAACTCAATGCAATATAGCGTTGTATACATTTCCTCGAAAGTTAATTTGTTTAGCCTTATTGCCCGAACCAGGTGATACTTCATGCTACGCACACCAGCATCCCATTACCCTCCGAAATTAGGTGCTGATGGTGGATTAAAATACCATTTGATTTTTTCCGTCTCAACTTCGTTTTTCATGATCTCCACCGGTTGTCTACTGGCACCAATAAAATTGGTACCACAATCGGAGCGGATAGTATTACAACGTCCTCTACGTACGATAAAGCGCTTTAAAGCACCAACGAAAGCGTCAGTACGCAAACTGGAAACCAGTTCTAAATGTACGGCCTTAACGGCAAAACAAACAAAAATACAAACATATGCCTTCTGGGTCTTTATCCCTCTGCCCTTTAAGGGCGTTACAGAAAAGGGACCTGCAAAGTTCACCCTTACTTCCTGAAATGGCTTGGACTGTGATACACGTCCTGCCGGTAAATCGCTCATGTATGGTACAACAGGCTTGGGATCAGCACCTTAAACAACGAGACAAACACCTACGAATAGCAGATAGGCAAGATCATATTGATAGTTTGTCTAAAAAAAAAAGAAAGAAATTTTGTTTTAACGCAGTTTTTAAATAAGAATTAGACACATATATATATATATATATATATATATATATATATATATATATATATATATATATATATATATATATATATTTATTCTCACCTATTGATTCACGGATGGAAAAATGTAATGACACTATACTCCGGGATATCATCCGTTCGCTCGTTGAACTCCGACTGGAATCCTGCATCCGACTGGAATCCTGCAGACGTTTCGCCAAAATCTCACTTGGCATCTTCAATGCTCGCGCTCCGTGTGTTCGAAGTGTTTTCGGAGCGCGAGCATTGAAGATGCCAAGTGAGATTTTGGCGAAATGTCTGCAGGATTCCAGTCGGATGCAAGATTTGCAGGATTCCAGTCGGATGCAGGATTCCAGTCGGAGTTCAACGAGCGAACGGATGATATCCCGGAATATAGTGTCATCACATTTTTCCATCCGTGAATCAATACGTGAGAATATATATATATATATATATATATATATATATATATATATATATATATATATATATATATATATATATATATATATATATATATGTATATATATATATTATAAAAGGTATTTTGAGATTCATAGGGTATACTCTTTTTTATATCAGTTTTGAAAAATTTAAGTGTTCATAAACCATTACCTAAATTCCTTTTTATTTTGTTAAGCATCCATTGCTAAAAAATGCATAAACTTATTGACGTCTTCCTCTCCATTATAACGAGACAAGAGCCCTTGTCAATTTTGGTGACCACAAAGTCAAGTCAAGTTACTCAACAACGATTTTGAGTGCCTTTGAAACGACTGAAGGTAAAGTTGTTATGCGAATTGGAATTAAGCGGACTGATTGTTTCACACCTGAAGATGTTTTTATCAGAAATGTAAATTTCTGATTTTGATCAGATCTGATTTATTTTGCTATGATTATTGCAAGAAAAATTGTATTTAAGATTAAACTCCAACAATACATTAAAACAATTTATAATAAAAGTTAAGGATCTAATAGATTATTTTCTTAGATCAGATTCTCTGAACTGTAGGTATCGTAATGAAATTTATATCACGCAGATCTCAGTTTGTGAAAAAGTACAAGGACACTAAGGTGACTAAAGGTGGCAAAAATGTCATAGTTTTACATGAGTACCTAAAAAATAGACAATTTGAACTTGAGAAATTAGAAATCACCAAAGCCAAAAACAGTTTTTTTGCGTCAATGCGTTTTTATTTTCCATAATCTTGTTAGGTGCTTTTTTATGTTTTTCATGTTTCACCATATTTTTTATTTCATTTGTTAGATGTCGGTAAAATCAAACGGCTTCGGTCTCATTCCGTTTTGTGTCTGTGTGTGTTTGAGTTGATGTCTTTGTATGTGCGTATTCTTAATTGATGTAAGTTTTTTTATTATTCCAAAAAATTGCTTTATAGGCCTGATGTTGCTCGTGTGGGAGAAACACCTGCGTGCAACATTAGCATTTTATAAATAATTTTGAGACATCGACTTGAGAGTTTAATTGAATTATTATTATTAAAGCCGGTAACATGTTCTGCCCTGTTAAGCCCTAATTAGACATGCAAATCGAAAAAAATGCTCAAAGAAATGATCACTACAAACGCATGTTTATGTCCGCATTGATATATATATATTCATGCAGAATGGTGCATACTAAAACGTATATACTAGGTCTGCGTACAGACAAAATCCGCCGTTTTGCTCATTGTCTGAATGACATAGAATGAAGCGTTGGCACTCGAAATCTCAAAATCAAGACTAAAATAATGAAACCTGCATTGTGTGAGGAAGGTTTTCTTATATTAATATATTGACGTAATTATCTTAGGATGGACGAAGAGACTTATTCGCTAATGATGAACACAGTAAATCCATTGGTACAGTATCAAAATACATTCATGAAACTGGCAACAAGTTTACACCGTCGATGAACGCACAATTTGTATCCACACACGAGTCGTTCTTTTTGAGTGTGCAGTCAAATATGAGTTTCTGTTTCGGGCACCCCTCGTGTCTCAGGTATCCTACGAAATGTTGGAGTAGTGAAAAGCGCATCCAATATGGATTTTTACGTAAAATTCAGTGGCGTAGTCAGTTTTTTTCTAAATGGTTTTGTCTATTTGAAAAAAAAAGTTTGTTTTTATGGGCGTTTGGTATGAGCTTCTCAAAAATATATAACAGTATGGGGATATTTGTATAAATGACCTCACGAAAATGTTTTTTTTTAATTTCGTGAAGCTGTTTGTGGTAGGCCTTGGAAAAAGGATTTATTAAAGATCTTAAATAGTTGCCTTATTTATTTCTGACAATACTTACACGATAACTTTTATAGTTTGCATGAAGCCAACTTAGTTTAATATTAACATTTTATTTGTAACATTTCACATGGCTTTATGACCTATATATTATTAAAAAAAGATAAATCAAAACGAGACCATAGATATTAAAACAATTAATTAAAGTGATAAGGAACATTAAAATTATTAAATATTGATTAAGCTAAAAAAACTGTTCAAAATGTGGACAATTTTCTCTAACGCACAACCTAAACACAGTTTCAATC